TCGAGAGGTCTTCCTGAAAAGCACCGTGGCAGACACCGGCTCAAATCATGGAGTGTCTTCCAAAGTGATACTTACTAGGTCAGCCTTCTTTAGAACAGAAATGTTCAGGTGAGCTGATACTCTTTACCACTTATATTCTTTTACCTAACCTTCATATGTGAAAACAGCGAGCTCAGAAACAAGGAGTAATTTCCAAAGGTTTAAAAACCACTATGGTGGGAACAATGAGCTTTTGTTCACTGCTGGGAGCAGAGCTGGTGTATCCGCTCTGGATACCAGCAGGATCCACTGATGCTACACCCGAACATGCCCGCTAGCTCTTGGATACACACCCAACTTCAATTCCTGTACCCTTGCACACCAAAAAGACACAGCAGTGGCCTTCACAGCTCCAAGTTGGAAAGAACCTAAATTTCCACCAGGCAGATGAATAAACTATGGGATATTCACAAACAGAACACCACAGAGCAAGGAGAAAGAGGTGCAATTATCTGATACCATGGATGATCTCAAACTAAATGCTGAATAACATAAGCCACAAACAAAAGAGTACATACTAAGTGGTACCATTTACAGAAAGTTCAAAAGTAGGCAGAACCAATGCATGGTTAGCAGTTACCCTCGGAGGGCGAACAGTCATTGGAAAGGGGCATCTGGCGGGTTTCTGGAGCGGTGGCAATGTTGGTTTCTTATTCTGGATGCTGTTTACGTGCGTCTGCCCAATTTGTGACAATCCATGAGCGGTTTACTTCTTGGCTTATTTATATGTTCACATCTTTGTAGGTCAATACAAAGCTTTAAAAATATGGTGTAAAACTTTAAATTGATAATTTTATTAGTTTATTTCCCCCATTTGTCTAAGAAGGATTTAAGAAAGCACATGTTAACGTGTTTCCCTAGACTGAGCTGAAACGGACAGCCTTACTTTCACTCCTGGGAAGCATAAGCTCCACAAGGGCAGATACTAAAGCTGCTTATTGTGGTTTCTTGGCACAGTAGCTATCAAAGAATTAACTGAATTAACCAGGGATTATATGATTTTTCCATTCAAAAGCTACTTGGGGCACTCTTACAGCCTGTCAGTCCTACAGGGCAAGCACACCACGGTACACAGAAGGAGTCATTTCGCAGGGTGTTCCTACCGGGGAGATTTTACACTTGCTACCAGGCCGCCCGCAGGCTCACCTCCTCGTCCTTCTCTGTGGATTCACCTACGAATAAGAAAGTGGGACGTGAGGAGGACAGATGCTTGGAGTCATGGAGACCCACCCACGGAAGTCTGACCCAAGTGCTGTCTGACTCTGCTGGACAAGATTCATCCCTAGAGCCACTTCTCTCAACTCAGAGTAACAGACAAACAAACGTATGGCCCACAGCTGTGTGGGATCCCATGGTGATCTGCATCCATTCAAATTATTTTTTTTTCTTTCTTTTTTTTTTTAAAGATTTTATTTATTTATTTGACAGAGAGAGAGAGATAGTGAGAGCAGGAACACAAGCAGGGGGAGTGGGAGAGGGAGAAGCAGGCTTCCCGCGGAGCAGGGAGCCCGAAGCGGGGCTCGATCCCAGGACCCTGGGATCATGACCTGAGCTGAAGGCAGACGCGTAACGACTGAGCCACCCAGGCACCCCCAAATTATTTTCTTTTTTTTTTTTTAAGATTTATTTATTTATTTATTTGACAGAGAGAGAGGAACACAAGCGGGGGCAGTGGGAGAGGGAGGAGCAGGCCCCCCACGGAGCAGGGAGCCCGATGCGGGGCTCATTCCCAGGACCCTGGGACCACGACCTGAGCCGAAGGCAGACGCCCAATGACTGAGCCACTCAGGCGCCCCAAAATTATTTTCTTTTAAGGTAGAAATGGAGGATGGGACTTGGGAAACATTTTTAACTGACCTCTGGGGTAAAGACTGTCTGAAGTTTATTACTTTGTTAAACAATCTTCGATATAGTATAAATTTTGTAAAACTCAATAAAAGAATCTGTTTAATTACTATGACACACTGTTACATTTATAAATGTCCAAGCAAGCTATTATGAAGTTAAATTTTATTGGCCTCTTTGGTAGCCATATTATACATGTATAAAATGCAAAGTCAAACTCCATTTCTGATTGAAACAGGAAAACACAGAACAAATGAACGCTCAGTGGCCTGTGCTAACTGCAGAAGATGCATAAATCACAGCCTAGCTATGTTATATAGTCACGTGTGTGTGTATGGAATCGTTACATTTAGTTCTAAAAATTCACCTTGGATAGTTCTTGGAACTACTTTACCTAAAGAAACAGGCCTTCAGTGAACCCTGACGTGAGGTTTCACGCACTAAGCCATTACTGGAGCGGCCGTGGGGCCCCACTGTGCGCAGGCCCCTGGCCTGCAGGTGCGCGCAGCACCGAGGTGAGTATGACGATCCCTGCCCTCAAGGAGCCTCAGTCTAGTAGGGCTGAGACATACTAGACTGTGAGCTCCTCGAGGGCAGGAAAGGTGCTGTAGTCCTCTTGGCCCAGAGACCGGGCCCCAGGCTCAGCTCTCGTGCTGCTCACAGTGAACACGGGGGGCAGCCATCTGGGGCAGCGCAGGGTGAGCACAACAAGAAGAACAAAGTGCTCTGGAGACTCCGCGGGCGGAGGCTCGTCGGCTGTGGAGCCACGGAGGAGCCGGCGTGTGAAACCAGCCGAGAAAGAGGAGTAGGATTTCACCGGGAGGAGAAGGAGGAGTTCCAGGCCGAGGGGGGGTTAGTGCGGTCACAGTGTGAGAAAGGGGTGGGCCGCGATGGAAGGAATCTTCAGTCTGCTCTGGAAGCCTCTACCTAATACAGGAGTCACGGGAGCCCACTGAGGGCTGTTCGAGCAAGGGAGCCACTTGTCCACAGCGATGTTTCAGAAGATCAACTAAGGGGCTCTGCCAGATAGATGGACAGTCCAGGTGGAGGAGCAGGGGAGGGTGTGCCCAGCCGGCCAGCCGGGGCGGCGAGGAATTACTGCTCACTCCAAGATGGAGATGAACGCAAAGGCACCTTTGGGGCTATTGAAGGTGAGGGCCAGGGGCTGCCTGGGAGGCAAGGCAACAGACTTGTTTTAGGATGAACATGATGCTCAGCAGCAATGCGAACGCGGCTCTGGGCCTTGTGAGAAAAGGCAGCACGGAAGCTGAAGACAGACAGAGGTGAGAGGTTGGCACGGCCCAGGAAGCATACTGAGAGAAAGGAGGGCGGCCTGGGACGGACGTGTGGGCAATACACAGGGCGACCGTGGAGCAGCAGGTCGGGGCGTAAAGGAGGTGTCTGGGAGGCAGGCAGGAGAAACGATGGAACTGGTGTCAGAGAGGGGAGGAATCTCAAGGACAGAATCTGTCTAATTCTGAGGAAAGATCAAGGAGGAACAAAAAAATGTATGAGCAAAACATGAAATAAAGCATGTTCAAAATCCAGCTCTAGTAAGTGAGAGCATGTATCATGAATTGTATGAGAATTAAGAAACTGGAGATTTTTAGCTTGAAGAAAGCTGTGTAGAAACACCTGAAGGACTGTCATGTAGAAGGCGGAGCTGTGCTGTCTACGGGGCCCGAAAGGGTGGGACCAGGCCGGCAGGTGCGCAGCACGGGGCCCAAGGAGGAGCCCCTTCCAGAGTGTGCTGCTCACTGTATGGTGAGGAACGGCTGACCCATCTCTTCCACCGGGCTGCAAACGCTGGGGGCAGGATTGTGTTTTGTTCATGGTTGAGTCCACAGAACCTGACTTAGAATAAAGTGGGAGCTTAGCCAATAATTCCTGACTGGGTGAATCTTTTATACCTCTCCCTATCAGCCTTCATTCTTCCGTGAAACACGCTCCTTGCCCAGAGCCTTGGCTAGCAAGCTGAGCTGCCTGAAGATGAGCTGGGGCTACAGGCAGTCTAGAAGGCTTCAAGCGCTGGGGGACAAGGATGGGCCAGAGGAGCCACCAGGGTCTTTTGGACCCTGATGTTTGGTAATTTTCTATGAAAAAAGAGGAAGATACACCAAGTTTTAAAAATCTCACATAGAATCAGGGAAATATGAAGATAGGTTTTACAGCACACATTACATCATGGTGTTGGTCACACAATAACGCTCCCATGTATATGTATTACATTAAAATATCTTATTTATTACAGTATCGAGTCTCAGTCTAGACTTCAATTCGACAACTGTTTGTTGAGCACGTGTTAGATGCCTGCGCCGGGGCCACAGAAACGGGTAAGACACAGTGATGCCCATGGAGAGCTTAGAGCCCGGCGTGCAAATGAGAAATTCTCCAAGCCAGGTGGCACGGTCAACTCTGTGCAGACACTCTGAGGGGCTCAGCACGCTAACAGGTCCCTGCGTGCTCCCTCTAAGGAACCGGGAGCTACTGGAGGTTTGGGTCTGGCCGTGGCTGGCACAAATCAGGAGCCATGAAATGGCAGCTGCATAGGTCATGTGGATGTTCTGATGACAACAAACAGTAGCATCAAAAAGGCACCAAAGAGTGGCTATCTGTTTGCGGGCAGGGCCGACCAGGGCAGTCCCCTGAAGGAGCTAACATCCGAGCTGGATTCTGAAGACCACAGAAGTGGTTAGCAGCTGGGACAGCTGGGGGAAGGCGTCCCCGGGAGAGAAAACAGCACGTGAGAGATGGCGGGCCATGCCGGGAGAAGCGTAAGCAGTTAGGAGCGTGCTGGAGATGGAGGAGGAGTGGGAGATGGAACTGGATGGGCAACTAGGGACCAGGTTCTCATGGATCTTGTAAGCCATGCTCAGTCAGAAGTCAGGGGATGAGAGATCTGATCCTAATCTGGAGTTTCTTAAGATTTTAAGATACAATCTCCTGAGGATTCTAGCAAGGCATAAATAAATGCAAACCAGTTAATAAGTAATTATGTTTGCTGGAGAAGAGGTTAGCCTTAGCTGTCCTGATAGAATGACCTCAAACGCTACGACTGCATGGGAGAAGCCGCATGAGCCTGCCCCAGCCCCGGCCCTCACTCCCCCCACTCCTACCTGAGCTGAGCTTTGAGCTCAGTGAACCGGGGCCGCCTGCTGGGGTCATAGGCCCAGCATTTCGTCATAAGGCTGTAGAGGGTAGGAGGGCAATTTGGAGGCATTGGTAATCTCTCCCCATTCTCAATTCGACCGATCACATCATTGTTCTTCACTCCTTGAAAAGGCTTCACACCATGCATCAGTATCTCCCACATACATACACCTGTGAAGTGGGAATGAAAACAGAACCGTGAACTTGGTGGGAAGAGAAGAATGCCCATGTTTCAGGAGTAACTTCATAGCTGGCACAAGAGGACCAGCTGTGTAATTTTGGGCAAATCGGCTAAATAAAGCAGCATTCAATGAACTCTGTTATAAATAAGAATAGCAGTATTAATTTAATATGATGCAAATAATGAAATATTAAGTTATTTCCCAAAAAAACCCCAAGTTTTTCTAAGAGGTTTACTTTTCTAAAAATCCTATATTAGAAAATGGCCCACCAGGTACAGTGATCCTTCATGGTTTAATGAACCAGTTCAAAACGGGCTGAATGAATTTTCCCTTGCCCTCCACTGCAGTCCAGCCTCCTAATGATTACGGCAGCTGACCTGAAGCCTAACAAAAGAAAATACTAAAATTTAAGCCTTACACCTTTAGAATACTCAGACTCCTTTCACGAGGTAGCCCATTCCTGGCTAGGGTGCACGTCGGCACTGTCATCTAGCTTATGCACAAGTTGGTCAGGGGGTCCCTGCCCCCATGGGCAAGCTCTGGACTCCCTGGGCTGCAGTGGCCCTGCCCACAGACCCCTCACTCACACTCCACCCTTGCAGACCACATGCTTTCTTGGTGTCCTCTGAACAACACCTGAAAGCTCACTTCTAAAGTAAACGAGCGCACGGAGTCTAAGGCGGAGAATGACGACCACACGCTCTGGCTGGTGGGGACAGTGGGTGGCTTCGCATGTCTAGCAGGCTGATCTGGCAGCCTTGCCTCCCCGGCACGCACGCCTTTGCTTGTGCTAGCCTCCCCACACTTAGTGCCCCTTTCCTTCTCTTCCCCACGAGTGCTTCTCTTTCTGTGTGCGTGCCTCCTGCCAGCCCCGGGCAAGCCCCGGCTCGGCCCCCGTCCTCCCTGCACGCCGTGTCACGGGCTTGAGGAGAGGCACCTTGCTTCAGTGTCTTTGGCACCTACAGCGGGGTGTGCCTTAAAAGAAGCAAGGCCCATTATCCTACCAACGTGAACGACATTCTGACGTTTTCCGAATTCTCGTCGTTCCAGAGTGAAGAGTGTATGCCAAAAATAACGCCTTAGTTCTGCATTTCTCGCCAGAAATTATGACATCATTACTAACAACAGCGCCGGGCATCATTTCTCCACACCTTAATATGTTTCTGGCATCCCATCTTTGAAATTTACATATATTATCCTTACACCTTACATTTCTTTAAACACTGTACTTGATCAAATCTAAGATGCCGCTGATTATAAAATACAACAGTATTTTTATATGACCAAAAATGGGGGAAAATACTGCAACTAAGTTATGGCACCATCCTCTGTTACCTATTGGAATTACTTTATTCTTACCAAGGAGCGCTTCCAAACGCATTCAGACAAGGAAGTAACACTGGGATGAACAAAGTCCATACGAGTGCAGGCAAGGAGGCCACGGAAGACACGTCCCCAACTAACACCGACCATAAAATGCCACTGATTTAGGACACCAGTTCCAGAGAAGTTACAATGTGAAAAAACAGGCATCTTAGAATCTTTGAAAACTGAAATTTCCTTGACAGGATAAGCAACTGGCTCTCTGGGTCACACAGCAGATGAGCGAGGTCCTGGGAGGTGAAGCCACGTCAGTCAGACCCCAGAGCCCTTTCTAAACCATGTCACGCTATTTCCTGCTCTGGAGAAAAGTTCCTTCCTTCACCTGTTATCACTTAGGGCACTAGATGAAACCAACAGCAAGTAAACAGAAGAAAAAATAACACATACTTGATGTATGTTATTTTTAATCATCGGGGAAAAAAGGTACATAACCTTATCAGGGCATCTCTCCTGAAGTAGTTTAAAATCTAGCAGAGAACACTCGCACACAAGACTGCCCACAAGATCAATGTGCGAGTGTCATGGCAGAGACAGGAAGTGCAGGGAACACAGAGGAAGGGAGGTTATGTCTGGAAAACACACCAGCTACATAAGGCTTCATGAAGAGGGGACATTTCAGGTGACCCCGAAGGTTAGAATTTCACCCGGGGAGAGGGTGTTAGGACAACGTGTTCCAGGCGGAAGGAGTGACACCAGAAGAGTGGGGTGGGGAAGGAGTATCATCCATATGGAAAGGGGAGAGTGATTTAAAATTTGATGAAGTAGTTGAAGTAAGTAGCGCCGAATGAGCGAGGGCCACACGGTCATAGTCGGAAGGTACCAGAACAACCCCGGAGCAGGACAGCGACTGACTCGGAGCAGGCGGGAAGGCACAGAGTAGGCGTGAAAACAGATGCCACAGGAGACAAAGGATCAAACTTCCAAGCCTTGAGACAAGTCAGGAAGGAGGCTGGACTCCAGGACAATGAGGAAAACACCACGGTAGGTATTCTGGAGCTGAGAAGCTAGCACAGAACCAGAGGACAGGTCAACCATTTAAAGTCATTCACGTAGAAAGAACGAACGAGATGGCAGAGAGAAAGAGAGGAGAGAAGGAAGGAAAGAGCTAGGACTGCTCCCAGGGAGGGATGCAGAGATGGCACAGGGAGACAGAGAGGCCTGGAGAAGGGAGGGGGATTCAGACAGCGGGACCTCACAGGAGTCACCCCCAAAGCTGGCGCTCCATGTGCGCCCAGTGACTGTCGAATGAACCAAGAGGACATCTCTGAAGGAGCAGTCAGGCAAGGGAAGGCAGATTAGTCTAAATACTCCGAAAAGAGCTAAGGCTAAGTCTGTTTTGTAGAGTATACGAAATGTAATTTAAAAACACAAAACTTTTCAAAATACTCACCAAACATCCATACATCACTAGCTGAGGTAAAACGTCGAAAATTGATGGACTCTGGAGCCATCCACTTAATTGGCAATTTTCCTTTGGAAGCTAGAAGATTAATTTTAGAAAGTGAATTTTCCTTGTTATCTGCTCAAGGATCTAAGTTATAGCTAGCTGAGATTTTTAGTATCAAAACAAAAAGCTTTAAATATCTGACCCTTTGGACTTTCTGTTTATTTGGAAGAACTACTTTTTGTTTCCTTGGTGTGGTGAGGTCTGGGGTGATCTGGTTAGCCTGTGGCAGGGAAATAAAGCACGGCAGCCCTCCTCTGGGCGGAGAGGCGGGGACGAGCGAGGGCGAGGCAGCCCCGTTAACTGGTGCTCCCAGCTTGCAGCTTGGTTATGCAACAGATCCTGACCCACCGGCTGGGACCTCTGCTGACGACACCCAGTCGCTTCTACAACCACCGAACCACTGTTCCTGGGGGAAATGTGTACATGCGCATACACATCTCACACAGATTATAATCTTAAACCCTGAAAACCAACTCATCCTGGTAGGTTCTATTTTCTTCATAAAACGAGGTTCAGACACGTTAGGTGACTTACCTGAGGCCACCCCACCGCCAGGTGCCCGAGCGGGGGTTCAAGGCCAGAGGGGCTCAAGCTATCCTGCCCCGCCCCCTCCCCTTTCCATCCTCCCGCAGAGACAGGCTCCGGTCCTCCACTGCTCCGTGCATGTGAACACGTGACTATGAAAGCACTGTATGACTTCGGGAGCTACAAATTTTAGCGACCACGCAAAGGCACGAATATGGAATATGTAACGAGGACTGACAACTATACCTTCACTGGTATGTAAAGAGCAGGACAGGCGATGGATGGAATGAAAATGTGTACTTCTTAGGTGAGTCTAAATCGTCCTCCTCTTGAGGTCTAACAGACCTTCCTTCTGTGCCGCAAAGGAAACTCACCACCTCACGGAACATTCCTTCAACTGCTGGCTTACAAGAGGAACAGCCCAGAGTACCTTTCCTCAAGGAGTTCTAATTCTAAAAGCTATGGTACGGGGTGTGACACAGACACTGAGTAAATGCCGGATGCCCTGGGAGCAGAGGAAGCCCACAGCTGAGCGGTGTGTCCGAGAAGGCAGCAGGGGCACGGAGTCCACAGGGGAGGGAGCCCCGGGTTGCGGAGGGGCCTGTGCTCTGCCAGCCTCGTCTGGACTTCCTTCTGTGAGCAACACGTGCCTTTGAGCACCTTCCATCAGGAGACAACTTCATTCGAGTCATTTCTTTTTTCCCACTTAACTTCAAGCACCTTCATGACAAGTGAAGTCAAATCCTTTGTTCAATTCCTTCCAAACAAACTACTCTACACCTGTGTGTGTCCTGAATAAAGCATCCCCAACCTTTTGGGGGTGTTCTCCTGAAGCCTAATGGAATCTGCACTTACTGACCTGAGATGACAACAAATACATGAATTTGTCAACTGCTCATTTTAAATGCTGTCTACGTGATATGAAACCTCAGTCATCAAGCTGTTTGGAGGTCAGCTCTTTACCAGAAGTCTAGAACCTGGACCCGTCAGGGCTTGAGCTGGATAGGAAATGAATTTAAAAACAGCAAAGAGCTGGCTTGGTCATTTTTATGTTAAATGACTAATTGAAATGAATGAACAACCCAAGAATTCTCCTTTCACAAAGCAGAAAATCTCTGTTAAAATTGTTCCAAGCTATAGTACACAGAAGACATATGGAAAGAGAACAGTCATAAGCCATGGTATGAAACGAAGGAGACTAGTTTTGTATGTAAAAATCTGGCCTCATTTTGCCACAATATAAGAATTTAAAAAACTGAGAAAGAAACTGGCTCTCAAAAGTGATAGTAAGGGGCGCCTGGATGGCTCAGATGGTTAAGCGTCTGCCTTCAGCTCAGGTCATGATCTCAGGGTCCTGGGATCGAGTCCCGCATCGGGCTCCCTGCTTCTCCCTCTGCCTCTCTCTCTCTCTCTCTGTCTCTCATGAATAAATAAATAAAATCTTAAAAAAAAAAAAAGTGGTAGTAAGAATTAGAATATACACTAAGAGCATAATATGGATTTGTAATCCAAACCTTAGCTGAGATACTAGGGATATGAACATCTGTTAATAAAAATATTTGTTCAATAATAATTTAAAGAACCAAGTCAAACTGATTCCAAAATTGGCAAAATTAAAGAAGAATCACAGGAGCTGGATTTCAGCTCTAAAACCAATTGATCAAAGTCTCTGAAGAGAGCAGACTGGAGATTTTTCAGTCTGACTGCTTCCACCGAGTCAACGTACCCAGCCCCACTTGTGTGAGGTGTCTATGTTTGCCATTTGAAGAACGTTGGGGCTGATTCCAATTTTTGGCTACTGGAAATAAAGTTGCAATGAACATTCCATATGCAGGTTTTGTGTGAATGTGAGCCTTCATTTCTCTGCGAGGAGTAAGTACCCAGGAGAGTAACTGCTGGGTTGTACGGCAGCTGCACAGTTAACTTCTAAAGGATCCGTGAAACTCTTCCAGAGTGGCTGTACCATTTTACATTCTCACAAGCAATGTTTGAGTAATGCAGTTTCTCTGCATCTTTGCCAGCATTTGGTGTTACCACTAGTTTTAATTTTAGCCATTCTGACAAGTGTGCAATGCTACCTTGTTGTGGTCTGAGCCTCTGCCTGGGCTTCTCTGCCCTCCGCGTATCCTCTTCAGTAAAGCCTCTCTGTCCACTGTTTGTCCACGTCGTGTTCCTGGTTTCTGTTTTCCCTGCTGGATTCTGAGAGCTCACTGCACACTGTGGACACTAGTCCTTCGTGGAATGGCTTGTGGTTGCAGGCGGGCACTGTGCCTGGCAAACATCCTCCAGGTCTGCACCTTCCCTTTCCACCCTCTTAACAGGGTTTTTTTGCAGAGCTAAAAGTTTTCATTTTGATAAGGTCCCATCTATCAAGTGTTTCTTTTTATGGATCATATTTTTGGTGTCAAGTCTAAAGACCCTTTGTCCAGCCCTAGATCCCAAAGACTTACTCCTATGTTTTTCCTAAAAGTTTTATGGTTTATGTTTTATAATTAAGTCTATGGTCCACTCTGAGTTAATGTGGGGTGAGTCAAGCTGAGGTCCATTTTTTGTCTCTGGATGTCTGACTACTCCAGCCCCATGGATTGAAAAGGCTGTCTTTCTTCTACAGAACTTATTTTATGCCTCTGTCAAAAATCAGCTGAGCTTACTAGGACACAGCTTTTTAAGAAATAAAAAATCATTAAAGATTCTGAGTTTATTGCCTCTTTATTGCTCTGATTCCTTACCTTTGTAATAAGTACTGTCTTCCATATATCGGGATAATCCAAAGTCTCCTAGTTTTACGCAATCATTAGAGGACACCAGAACATTCCGAGCAGCAATGTCCCTGACAAGGAAGAATTTGGGATAAGAAATTTTAATACAAGGAAAAAACAAACCCACAAACTCATCTATATTATATAAAGACATACTGATAGGTACTTTGAAAGACAGCTTATAGACAACACAAACAGATTTATTACACACTGAAAAAAAGACACTCTTATGATTTAACTTCAAATATACTCCTTCTGGCAGATATTTACTCATTAATACGATAATCAGTATTTTGAATGACAGCAAAGTATACTCTCAAATAACAAATATCTGAGAATAAGAAATAAAAAAGGAATTATTACTTTTCATATAATCATATTACCACCTGCATTAACAGACAGACAGGGATGCACGACTGGGATCTGTAACCCTGCTGCTACTAAAAGATCTCATCACCTAAAATAAAAGCCATCATCTAAACCCTTGTAAATGATTTTGCTCATGGAATTTATTTTCATGCTGGGTAATAAAGTAGTGGGCAAACTGTAAGGGCTTTCCCTTGCATTCAAACTAAGGACCCGGATAAGAAATAGAAATTCCACAGAATGCCACAGATGTCACTCATGACCCTCTGGGGCCTGGGGCATTCCCAGGACAGTGTCTGTCTTAGTCTACATGCTCACTGCTCTAGGACCGTGTACGGTCTCTCAATAGCATTTGCAGAAGAGAGAACTGGCCTGAGAGCAAACAAATGTTTCCATGTGAGGAAAACCCTCTAACTGTGCGTACAAACAGGCCACGAGTCTTCCCTGGGCTGGGACAGGTGCTGCCTGACTTTCCGGTACCGTCTACATACGACAGAGTCCAGCAGTACAAAGAGTCACAGGGCACAGTGAGTGTCTCCTCCCTCCGGTTTCCCCGCTACCACCCCCTTCCCCTGTCCAGAGGGCAGCTTACCAGCTTTATGACTGGATCTTACCTGTGCACAAATCTTTTGCTCTCCAGATACGCGAGAGCTGTACTAAGCTGATAGGCATATAGGATCAAAGACGCTAGGTCCAAACTGTACTTCCTCACTTGCAGAAATGACCTCAGCTTTTGGAACAGTGACCAAGATAAAAAAGAATTAGTGACAGAGAACAGAAATCAACAGCAAAGGAGCTACATTCAACAACGCTGCCCATTTCCACACTTTTATGAGAATGGCTTCAATTCTCCCCTAAAACAAAGGGGCAGAATGAAACATACTAGCTCAGAAATTATGATTAATCATTCTTTATTTGAATCCTATTATAAAACTGAAATCTTCATGACTGTAGACAAATTTCTGAAAAAATACAGAAAGATGCTGCAAGGAAATGAATAGAAGTGTGAACTACCGCTAGAGTAAGAGTTAGGGGGACAAACAGACGGAGTTAGCCCTCACACGGCCAGCATGCCTGCACCCCACACTTCGCTGTATCCCAGGCAGGTACGAGGAGGAAGGGGAGGCAAGAAGTTCTCCCATCCTCCTCCAGGAAGTTTTGGGTACAGAAAGGTGTTGGTATTTACCCCACGGGGCTTATCAGTCCTATTACTATTGTCACGATCAGTTCAGCTAAATGCTAGCATGGCAAAGGAAGACAGACGATTGAACTCTAATTCTACAAAATCTATACATAAAGGAGAAAGTTTTAGTAATAAGTTTAAGCCAGGAAAACTGGCAAATTCTCCAAAAGCAAAAGTAGAAAAATACTGTGAACAAAAAATGTATGTAAGCACTCTGTTTGATTTGGAAAGGTGGGGCAGAGGAAGAAGAGATGTTGTAAAGACCTGAAGTCATTTCATCCAGCAAACTAGGTTATCAAGCACAGAGGAGAGCAGCGGGGAGCCCGCAGGGGGAGGGAGGCAGAGGTTGTCATGCAGAGGTGCAAGGACCCAAACTGCTCTCGGCTGCTAAGCAGAACCCCTAAATCTCCACAAAAAGCAAGACTGTGTTTGGTGTCCTTTAAAATTAGAGAAGAAATGTAACTAATGTTTCAGGCTAAATTACTGAGCTTTAGTACCAGTAAGTGAAGTGTAGACACCTGGAAAACTGACTTGTGTTCATCCGCAAGCATGCAGGCTACAGCGTGGCCCGGAGAACAGGTGTTGGGCCCCGCCTGCCCTGCCGAGGGTCTGATCCACCAGGCCTGGGCGAGGGCCCAAGAATCTGGCTTCTAACAAGTTTCCAGGTGATGGTGACACCCTAAGTAAGGAATTTCTGTGTTCTGGAGAGAGTCAAATAAGGAGATCTGTCCACATGTGTTACTCACATTTTCAAAAGAAACTGTGACTAGTGTCAGTTGGTCTGAAAGACACCATAAAATGAATTTTCAAGCAGAGTAAGTTACTGCAGATTTCCGTAAACGCAGCAGTAACTTATCGGAGTTCCATTAAGAGGGCCTCTTTCATCCTCGGACCCCTGGGCTCGCGGGGCAGCAGCTCCAGAGAGGAAGAAAGCACCACTGGGTCACCACTGCCTTCAGGACTGAGTCAGGGCATGGCTTGGGAATTTAACCAGGAAGACGCTCGTGTCTCTGAGCCCAAACCACAAGGGTACCCTTCACATACTCCCCTTTCTTAAACAAAGGACACCAAACACCCAGGGTGGGCCGAACGAACGCCAAGCACAAGACTATCGTGTCACTGACACTGTGACAAACGGGCTGGCAGTCGCCCTGCCAGGCCCGGTCCGAGGATCAGGGTACCTCTCCCAGCGTGCACAGCTCCATGATTATCCAGACAGGGTTCTCCGTGATGACACCAATCAGCTTCACGATGTGAGGGTGGTCAAACTGACGCATTGTTACTAGGGAAAAACAGTTGTCCCCGGTTATTCTTCTGATAGAGTAGTAGGTAAGGGGGACTGATGTACTCTGTGTTTTCTTGGCCTAGGCGCTCTGTAGAAATAAACTAGTTGAGACAGAAGTCATTGCCAGGATTCGTCTCGTCCTTAAGATACCGGATACAGAGATACAGGAACAGGATTAAAGACAGACTTTTTTCTTTTGATGAAAGTACAATACAATTTTGAGGAAAATGATACTGATCAAGTCAATATGACTTACTCTATGACTTATTAATTTATTGGACTGTTGGGTGGTAAATATTTCCTGAAATGGAGGGTAGAAAAAAGCATTTGTTCCATGTCCATGTAATGAAGGACCCCGAGATTCAATCACATGACCAGTGTCCCCTGAGCGCCTCTCATGGGTTCAGTGCTATGCTGGGCACTGGGCCTGAGCAGTGAGCACAGCAGACAGGGTCCTAGCCCCGTGGAGCTTAAAGCCTAGAGAGGGGCAATACTAACTTCTAGGCAGTGTTTATTTAGTTTCAAATACTTAGGAAGGAGAAAACGTGGTCCTGTGACAAAGCCTCCTGAGGAAAAACTACTCTAAGCGCAGGGTCAGATGTGGAAGCAGGAAGGACATCCCAGACTGAGGGCAGGTGGAGATGTGTACAAGCAGGACGAGGTCCTGGCTCTCCACGAGTGTGCACTCAGCAGAGAGCAGCTACCCACGCACGGCCCTCCCCGCAGTCTCACCCCGCACGTGTGAGCGGAGAGCCGAAGGGCAGCACTGCACAGAGGCGGGGCACCCGGCACGGTCCCGGCTCTCTCCCTGGTCTGTGAGCTCCCTCACGCGGGGACCGTGTCTGTCCCGCTCACCCCCAACTCTAGGGCCTGCTGGCACCTGGGCTGGACTCATTTCTACATCTGCCCAATCCCAGTGCCAGGATGCTCAACCTCACGGTGCCGAAGGAGACGGGGACAGTAAATCTGTCCACGCTCACACCCCAAACATCATGGCTTACCTGGCGCAACGTGTGGGTATGAGCCTCTGCAGATACAGGCATTAATTTGCAAGGCAAGACAGTAACTGCCGTTGTCACAGACAAGCCAGAATATTATTTTTCTTACTTCTTCAGAGACAGCTCGTATTTCACAGATAAAAAAAGTCACATGGAGTTCCACAGAAATGTCTAGAAACTTACAGGCTTCTTGAAGGAATTTCTCTCTCACGCTGTCCGAAGTACAGTTTTTACATGTTTTAATTGCAACCGCCAAAGCTGGATTCTCCTGTGTTAGGGAAATTTCAGAATCACACACACATGCAAAAAGAGCTTCTCTTTATGAATCAATGGGCACGTTCATGAAAAGCTGTGTGTTTGGCAACTATGTGGATTCTGGACCAGACAGAATCAGAACTGAAAATCTCAAGAGAGGAACACTTAAAATACTCTACAAAATCCCCAGAAAAAAAGTCCAGGCACGTTAACATGTTGTAGGTAATTCATTCACTCGTTGTGCCACAAACATTCACTTCCTGCTACGTGCCAGGCAGCCTTCCAGATGCTCAGGATACATCACTGAACAAAAGGCAGCGAAGTTCCCTGTTCTGCTCAAGGTTACCTTCCCACTAAGAACTGACAACACACACAAGAAACCAGTTGATCACAGGGTACCTTAGAGGGTAGCAATGCTGTGGACAAGGAAGGAGCGTGTCAGGATATGTGAGGCAGAGATCAGGACGGAAAAACCAAAGGAGGGAGGGAGGGACTGGCCGAGAGCTGGCCAGGGGCACAGCCGGGGTCATGGATGCTCTGGGACCTGAGGGCTGGTGTGGTGACAGGCTGGCGGCTGGGACAAGCTTGGGGCAGGGTGGGGTGCTGAGACGCTGAGTTCAGGTTTCTGGTGAGACAAAGGGAAGAGGCAGCTCAGCTAGGACTAGGACGTGAGGGGCATGAGATGGCAGCGAGCCAGCGTGGCACACAGGAGAGCGGGGAAGGAGAATCTGGGTGGAGTTCAGGGTCAGATTCGGGCTGGAGGAGATCCTCAGGGCCGGGGGCAGGAGCACGGCACCCGGGCACGCTGCAGCGCTGGAGGTCAGGGAGAAGGGGAGACACACAGCAGACTAACAGGGTGACCGGCAAGGTGGAGAGAAACCAAGAAGGCATGTGGACCTGCTTGCCCGAGAAGCTGACACTTTCTTGAACGAGTTCAAAAGACAGAGCTTAAGAAAGACAAGAAATGAGGTCATCCCAAGCCTTGATGGAATACCATGCATGCTTATAATTAGCAACTTAATTGCTTATCTTATCCTTGGCTCTATGTTGTCTTTGCCAGAACCACATATTCTTCACACTGGAGATTTTCGTAAGGTGCCTCGCATTCTGTTAAGGAGGCAGGAGAGAGGAGGAGGACAGAACGGAAGAGAAAGAAGCGGGAGAACGTGGCGAACGGACACCCTTATGAGAGGATCCCGAGAGGGGAGGAGGGCAGACGAAGGAGCCATCACACAGGTATGAGGAGCATTCAGCCACGAGGCCCCAGAGGAGGGCTGTATAGTCTTGCTGTCTTTAGTTTTCTCAGTAGGTTTTGAACCTTTCTGTCCTTTTTGTAAATTATCTCACTGGGCCTACAGGTTATCTGTAAGAGAGCCTGACAAGGTACAGAGGGATCCAGGATACCCATCTTATAGACAGGTCAGCAAAGGCTGACAGGTTCAGCGGCTTGCCCAAGGTCGTCCTGCTGTAAGTGGCATGTCCCCTCTGCAACAGGGACCGGGGCAGAGTATATGTGACGAGCAGCAGTGGGGGGCAACAGCTCGGGATGGATGTCACAAGACCCGGCTCTGAAGCGGTGCCCAAGCTAGATTCTCGAGTGTTGATGAAGCCTGGATTTGCCAGGGTCTCTCAGAAGAGTCCTTGCTACTGGATCGTGAGTCTCTGTCCATGTCAACAGCAGCCTCAGGCAGAAAAGACTGGCCAGGAGGACAGTGGGAAGACAAGACATTGCTTCCTGTCTCCTCAGGGCGGGAACATCCCAGGGCTCAATCCCAGGGCCAGCTCGACTCGAGGCGACCTCACTGAGCACCAAGTCCTACCTCTACACTGACTTCCAAATTCTCTCTCCAGTCCTCACTTCGTCTTTCAGCCCAGACTGATATCCAACCCTCCCATGCCCTGTCTTGACGAGGATGTAGCAAAGTTACTTTAAACTTGATACGACCTAAACAAGACTCCAGATATCCCCCTATGATGGTTCGTTTTATGTGTCAAGGTGACTGGGCCACAGCGTGTCCAGATATTTGGTCAAGCATATTCTGAGTGTTTCTGGATGGATTTAACACGCAAACTGATAGACTGAGTGAAGCAGGTTGCCCTCCCTAATGTGGTGGGCCTCATCTGATCAGCTGAAGGCCTGAATAGAACAAAAAGCCGATCCTCTCCTAAATAAGAGGAAATTCCTCCTGCCCAATTACCTTTGAGCTGGGACACTGCTTTCTTTCCTCCCCTTTGGACTACACCTGCACTGGCTATGTTGGGTCTCAGGCCTTCAGACACAGACCGGAAGTAAGAAACCACCAGCTCTCCGGGTCTCTAGCTGGCCAGCTGCAGATCTGAGGAGCATCAGCTTCCAGGATCGCACGAGCCAATTCCCAACACATCTGTTTTGAAGGCACTGCACCCACAGCCTAGGGCTTCTGTTTTCCTGGGGAGCCCTCACTAAGATACCCACCACCAGACGCGTTTCCTCCTTAGCCTTCTCCACCTCACTCGAGACACGAAGTCACACAGATGCTTAAGGTCAACAACCTAGCGGTCAGTTCTGATTCCTCAGTTCCCCTCAGCTCCCACAGATCCAACAATCCAGGAGCAAGACCGGTGTTTCCTACCTACAGCCTGCATCCGGAATCTGCCCACCCGGCCTCTGCCACTGCTGTTGGCTCACTCACTGGCTCCACCACCCCACCACCACCTCGCCCCAAAGCTCCTTTCCTAGCGGCAATGTGTGCCCTTCTGCACCCAGTCTCCCCGAGGCACCCCCTGTCCCCAGGACACTGGAGAAAAAGCCCAGCCCTCTGCCGTGGCCCCCCCAGGGTCCCTCTTTACTCAGAACTCTCACACCCAGCCTTATTTTCTATGCTCCAACATCATTTCCCGTGGCTGCCCTTCTTGTCCTGCCTGACTGGAAAGCTCTTCCCCCGGGAAGCTGCGCTGAGATCCTTGGTCAAACCGTCCCGTCTAAAACAGCGCGCAGCCGCCTGCCCTGCACTCTAGCTCCCTGCCGCTCTGCACAACCCTCACCACAAGCTCCAAGCACAGAACTGTCTGCGCCACAGGCCTCTCAGGTTATTGCAATGTCACTATTCTACACATTTTTATTATATGTTACAGTATACACATAATGTACATTGTCACATCATTACTACTTCCCATCACTGAAATGTAAGTTTCAAGACATAGGTACCTTGTTGTCTTGTTTGCCAAGAAGTTCCCCTTACAACAGTACTGAATTCACAGTAGGTGCTCAATACGTATCTGCAGAGTTAATGAACGCTATTAAAACCTTTCTTTTGAATGCAGATGCCATTTACAAGTCAGCTGTGGTATATCTTAAAAATACCTTAAACTGTATTAATTTTACATTTCACACTGATTGCACACCATATGATTCCAGAATACTAAACATTTTCAAACAAGAGAAATAGAAACAGCAAAATGACTCTGACACAGATGTGGGTCACTTTCTTAACCTGCAGAGGAGGCATGCCTGCATGCAGGATTCCAGGTGGTAATGGTGGCCTGGTCCCTGCAGGACAGTCGCTGCTACCACAGAGTGTCTGCTAAATGTCCGGGCTTAGAGCCTTCTTAGAAGCGCTAGCCATACACCTCGCTAAGATGTAACTACTCTGCTTTGAATGAGTTAGTCTTTGTCTTCCTTAACTAGATGGTGAACTTCTTTAGGACCAGGACCATGAATTCTACCTCCATCTAAACACAGGGCCAATTGGTATAATCTAGAAATGACACGAAATGTCCTTTTTAACAGGAATTCTGAATAACAACAACAGAAACTTCTGTAAGACTACAAAACCATCAATCCTGTGAATTCATACTCAAATATTGTCCATGATGCTTTAAGCAAGACAGTCTGAAGACATGCAAAAAAAGTACTGCTCTCTAAAACTCAGAGTTTCAAATGGATGCTGGACCTAAGATTCCGTGGGGAGCACGTGTATAAAGGGCCGAATGTGAACAGAACCAGGGTCTCGTCATCTGTTCACGGAGTAGCACTTGTGGCTGTCGGCCCCCAAACTGGACAGCAGAAGCCTGGGGAATGCTGAGCATCAGAGGGGCTGGTCACAGAGATCAGAATACTGGAGAAGTCAGTTCAAAGTGAGCAAGACCAGAACCTAAGCAAAGCTGGTTTCTTGTTTTTGTTTTTTTGCCTAAAAAACCTTTAAAAAGAGGCAGATTCAAACATAGCTGGGTTATTGGTCAAGGTGTGACTTTAAAAAACCTTTAAAATACAAGCAATATTTAGGGGAGAGAGAGGTCTATTCTTTTTTTTAAAAAAAAAAATTTTATTTATTTATTTGAGAGAGTGAGAATGAGAGAGAGAGAGAGTACATGAGAGGGGGGAGGGTCAGAGGGAGAAGCAGGCTCCTCGCTGAGCAGGGAGCCCGATGCGGGACTCGATCCCGGGACTCCAGGATCATGACCTGAGCCGAAGGCAGTCGCCTAACCAACTGAGCCACCCAGGCGCCCAAGAGGTCTTTTCAATGTCCCTGAAAATACCACATTGTCGTCCAATATGCCTCCATAAAAGATATGATTAGGCTCTGAATTATTAACAACTGCAGTGGACCTTTAAAAGACTTAAATAAATCCAGAGAAGGGCTATTCTGGGATTCATTAAGAGAAAAAGAGATTTAAAAGCAGATTTTTTAAGGCTAAGATAATAATGATGAAAGAATATGCAAGTGATCAGCAGAGGTTCAAATAATAAGAAAGAAGCCCGATCACCCTGCCAAATGAAGGCAACAGTGCGTGTGAACGAGCCTCTACACTGGCTCTGAGAATGAACTCCAGGTCCCCATGTGTAGCCCACCCGACCCCGTCTCCTCTCCTTCCGTGGCCCTCCCCGCACACACCACTGCGGCCACACTGGCCTCCTGTGGACTGCTCCCTTCTTGCTTCAGGGCTCTGCTGCGGGTCACCTATCAGAAGGCCTTCTTCTACCATCTCACGGGGAGAGCACCCCAACCTCCTCTTGCCCGTGCTTTTTTCTCAGAGCACTTCTTCCCCGCTCGACATTCAGTGTATTTGTTTTTGTCTGTTCTTTCTGTCTCAGAGAGATTTAAGTTCCGTGAGAGCAGAAATTGTGCCTGTTTTGTTCATTTTCATGTCCCCACCACTTCGCTGTCACATGGTAGGTGACGGAGGAATTGTTGCTGAAATAATTACTGGAGTCTCCAGTGGCAGGTTCCTGGCCGTGACATGTGTGCTGAGCTGCAGTCTGATGGATTAGTAAAAATCCTTGAAGAAATGTTACTTATCTTATAGAACACTAAAGAACATAATCTGGAAAAAGGACTTAATAGGAGCCCCAAGAAATGAGTAGATTCCTCTGCACTATAAAATTAGACACCCCCATTAATAACAAAATAAACACTCACGTACAACATATATCAGGAAGATACTCAACAAAAAGTGTGAACCCTGGTATTTTTCTGGGGGCTGGGACTCATTCAACAAATATTTAATAAACACTAGACAATGGATATTAAAAAAAATGTTCTCTTGTATTTTCACAACTGAAATGGATTATTTTATTTATTTTTTAGATTTTTATTTATTTGACAGAGACACAGTGAGAGAGGGAACACAAGCAGGTGGAGTGGGCGAGGGAGAAGCAGGCCTCCCGCTGAGCAGGGAGTCCGATATGGGGCTCGATCCCAGGACCCTGGGATCATGACCTGCGCCGAAGGCAGACGCTTAATGACTGAGCCACCCAGGCGCCGCTGGATTAGTTATTTTAAAAATGCATGAAATCAAGCCCATGAACCCTGCCATTATCTGTGTGGTCCTGGTAAGTCACTGAATTCTAGAGACTGCAGGGAGCTCCGAGGGTACCGAGTTCAACTACCAAGAAGCTGCACCTCCCTCCCATCTCATGTGGGTGTAGCCAAGTCTAAGAGTTAGGAAGTCTTTTTTTTTTTTTATGATAAAAACTTTATTGTCTTAAATATCAAATGTTTTACACATCACTTTTTCTTCAGAAAGTTCCTATTAAAAAAAGAAAAATAAAGTGTTTCAATTATTTAGGGCTGACTTAACATTTCAGTATGTGACAAAAAACTCAAACCCAAATGCATCTAGTTCACTCAGCTGCAGACATGTCCTATGTCCAGCCCCTAAACCAAGGGCACAGTGCAGCCAACTGTGGGATTCCTGAGTTTGGTTCTCTTAAGTTCTCAGAGTTTTCCCAACTCTCAAAACCAAAGCACTATGGGAGTGACTAAGCTATTGGCAAGCCTATTTTGCCAATCCGCCTAGTTTTTTAAAGATGCAGTAGTCTCAAAGCTCAAAGAAAAGTCAGAAAAGCAATACATGAGCAATTGCAAGAACAAAGGGGAAAAGAAGGGTTTCTATTTGCTAAGATTTGCCAAATATGGCTACAAAACTGGTAAACAAACCTTACTCGAGAGTGAAGGCCATTAGCCCAACTTGCCATGAAGACGAGATTCTGAATAAAAATGAGCAAATCAATTTTCACTGTAGGTGCACAGTGAAGAAAGCAATATAATCAGTATGTTCAACTGCTCTGAGTGCATCACTATTTCAAAAGGATGATCGCAAGAATAGAGAATGGAATATAATCATTCAGAGAGAAAGGTCTCAGGTAGGAGGCATACACTCAGAAAGCTGTGGGGCCTTCAGGGAAAGAAAAAAAGTCTGGTCAGCATCAGGTAATGTCAGGCTGAAGGAATCTGGAAAATCTGGAAACCAACTGGCTGATCTGACTGCCTCTGACAGGAGATTGAGAGAGGTCTCCTGAGTTAGGAAGTCTTTGAGTAACCTTAGATCCAGGGCTTTTTCTACTGCATTTTGCCCCAAAGAACAGAGTTAGGAGAATTAGGAAGATAACACAGAGTAAAACAACAACAACAACAACAACAACAACTAAAGAGAAGTTAACAGCTAGAAATACATAATAAATGATAGAATTGTCTATAAGTACAAAGGCACAGGCTTTCAAAACTGAAGTTTTAAAAAATGGAACCTCTGATTTGCTTAGTGACGTTGGTGGCAATTGTCTGTTGTTCCTGACAGAAACAAAAAACAAAAAAAGCCCCTTTAGCTCTTTGGTTACAAAAGTAATGATCACTATGTCCCTAGTGCACGTAAGAAGGACGTGAAAAAGTGACAGACATGGAGTTACTACGGAAAAATGCCATTTGCAGTTTCCAAAGCAGGGGTGACACAGAAGGTCAATCATCTGTGTTACTACAGACCTTCCTTAACTCAAGATGGAGTTACGTCCGGATAAACCCACCGTAAGTTGAAAACATCCTAAGCTGAAAGTGCGTGTGACACACCTAACCTCCCAAACAACACAGCTGAGCCGCATCCACCTTACCCATGCGTGAAAGTGTTCACACAGGCCTGCGGTTGGGCAGAACCATTTCACACAAAGTGTATTTTATAATCAAGTGTTGACAGCTCATGCAATTTACTGAATCCTCTACTGAAACTGACAAACAGAACGGCCGTGTGGGCACGGAATGGTTGTCCGTCTGTCAGTGATGGGCCCTCACGATCGCAGCCGCCACCCTGCATAAGGACAGGGGATGTGTGTACCCCTGGCCTTCAACAGGATCCAAGTTCAAAATTCCAAGTATGGTTTCTACTGCATGCAAGTCGCTTTTGCACCATCATAAAGTCGAAAAACTGTAAGCCGAACCATCCTTCAGTACAACCATTGTAAGTTGGGGACAGTCTGTACACTCTTTTTTTTTTAGAGATTTTTTATTTATTTATTTGAGAGAGAGAATGAAATAGAGAGAGAGAGCAAGAGAGGGGGGAGGGTCAGAGGGAGAAGCAGACTCCCCGCTGAGCAGGGAGCCCGATGCGGGACTCGATCCCGGGACTCCAGGATCATGACCCGAGCTGAAGGCAGTCGCCCAACCGACTGAGCCACCCAGGCGCCCCAGTCTGTACACTCTTATTAGTGCCATCTGTGTACATCTGTTACTATTCTAGTTAAAAAAGTTTCTTGGGCAAGTATGTACTATTATTTTATCTCTCTCTTTTTTTAAAGTAGGCTCCATGCTAGGTGTGGAGCCCAATGTGGGGCTGGAACTCACAACCCTGAGATCAAGGCCTGAGCTGCAATTGAGTGGGACATTTAACCAACTGAGCCACCCTCTATTTTAAAATGCTGCTTTAAAATCACTGATCTAATAAAAACACATACGATAACCAGTGCTGGTAGGGATGCAGAGAAATGGGCACCCTTACCCGCTGCTGCTCAGAATGGAAATGGACAGCTTCTTTGGAGACAGTCTGGCAGTTAGTCAAAGAGTGGAACAGTTACCACGTGACCCAGGAATTCCACTCCCAGGTATCTACTCAAGAGAACTGAAAACCACTCACACACAAACTGTACAGGAGTGTTCACAGGGGCATTACTCGTAACAGCTAAGACATGGTAACACCCCAAATGACCATCAACGGGAAAACAGACAAAAAGTGGTCTATCCATACGATCGAATGTTATTTAGCAGTGACAAGAAATGAAATCCTGATACACGCTACAATGTGGATGACCCCTGAAAACATGCCAACTGGAAGAACCCATCATGAAAGGCCACATATCGTATGAGACCACTGACATGAAATACCCCGAACAGGTTAATCTACAGAGGCAGAAAGCAGATGAGTGGTTGCCAGGGGCCGGGGGGAAGGTGATATGGGAGTGACTGCTAATGGATGTGGGGACTTCCTTCTGGGGCAAAGAAAATGTTCTAGAATGGACTGGGCAGTGGACTGTACAGCCCTAGCAATATTCTAAGAAAACCACTGAATTTTATGTTTTAAAGAAGTGAATTTTATAGTATGTGATTTATACCTCAAGAAAGCTCTTTTTAAAGAAAAAAATTTTAAAAATGTGTTGATCTCTTTTGGAGGGCAGTTTGGGGCAAACGAATATTCTTTTCTTGAGGACGCAGGTAAGCAGGAATACCAGCCACCTGCTGTTGACGTTGGTCATCTATCTGTCGATTCTGTGCAATGGAACAATCACTGTGGAATCTGTTACTGAGGAGAGAGGCTGAGAGATTAAAATGAATAAAAGACAGACCCAGCCCTCTAAGAGCTTAGTGTGCCATTTTTCTGTTTCTGAATATAGCAAGTAGGCGGACATGTATGACGAGCTTTGTAAAAGACAAGCTCAAAGAACTGAGGACTCATGAAGACAAACAAGAGGCAACGGTCAAAAGTAGCTCAGGTTTCTGGTCGCCGCAGAGGACTTACTGGGCTCATATAGATGCCTTGATGGACGTCTCCAAACTGGCCTTCCCCAATGCACCGTCCAAGCTCGATTCTTTCTCTCTGAATCTCATAATCCCTGGCTGCAAAACACGATATATGTAAGTACAATATTCCAAATGTCGGAATTACACTTGACGCGCTTTTCATTTCGTTATCATCCATGAGTACAAATCGCACTGGTGGCACATCATTCTATGAAAATGCTTTAAACAGAGTGGAATTCTCTTAAACGGTATTTTTAAAGGAATTACGTAAACTGTTATGGCATCGCGTGAACTACCAAGACCACGTGAGTTCTATTAAAGGTAGATTTTTCATATTTTTAATGTCGATTTAGTTTATATCTGATAGTTTTCTAAACAGTTTCTCCAAGCAGTATTATATGCTTATGTAATCAGTGCTATTAGTTTAAGTATTAATATATGAAAGGCTAAAAAACACAGTTATTTAAAGCAATTATTTAACAAATAACTGGTTTGAAAATATGGAGGCAACAAAAAAACTGTCACGAGAAACTTTATGTTTTAAAAGTTTAAGAGTTTTCCACTTTCTTATGATCCTATCTATATTATTCACAGAGCTAAAAGAGTTTAAAGAGGTCACTTCTAAAAACTAATTTCAAAATCAGGTGACTTGGAGTCAAGGCTGAACATATCACATTATACATGAAGAGTATTTTATATTTTTGAGAGCATTTGCCTCCAATTAATGTATTAAGTTGTTGTGATTTTATACAAAACCAATTATTTAGTAGGCTGCTGAGGCACACGGAAGTAAAATACCCATTAGAAACCTCGTCAATCGATTCTAATCCAATTAACCACTTAGTATTTTGATTTCCTCCAGCCGGGAAACCTGTCTGCACAACCCACACTGTGCGCACTCCATTAGTGTAGCCGCCAACGGAATAAAACGATAGCCAAATATTTCCAAATCTCTCCCTGGTTTATAAAATTCTAAACCGTACAGAAAAATCCAACCCAAATTTTAGATGGTTCTTTTCCTCTTTAAAATCACTTTAGCTAGTAGTTCCATTGGTTTAACAGCATGAATAAACCAATGGAAAGTAGTTTAAAGATAAAAGTTAACTGAAAACTGAAACATCCCACATCATTCCATAGGTTGCAATTGCAAGCAAATGCAGTTATTTTAAAGGAATCCTGTTACCTTCATCTATTCCATAGCTTTCTGTATTGCAATTAAGGGAGAAAAAAATTGAAGACCTTGCTTAGAAATAACTAATAGCAATTAGGTTAACAACAACAAACTCCAAGAGTACATTTCAACGTTTACTTTGCTAAATATTTTAACAACAAACATCAGTTAAAAAAAAAAAAAAAAAAGAGGACTAGACACAAGCAAACTGAATCTCCTCAAATTATCTCGATGTGACGTCAACAATGCTTTTCAATCTCCATCTCGTAAATTCCTGCATGATGACTCATTTTTGTGGGGTCTGGACCTTTACTACTCAACACTGAATAGTAAGTACACAAATACAAATTTGGATAGTCTGCAGGGATGTATAAATGACTAAATGGCTAACCTAAATTTAAGCATTTTCCATGTTGCTACTGCAAGTCAAAATGCCCAGGTTCCCCTCTTCCTTCTGTTTTGAACCACTCTCTAACACAAGAGCTCTTACAAGGGGATTCAGGGTGCACCCGGGATAATGCAGGTCTGATGTTGGTAATGCCTCTTAATCTAAATGAGAGCATCTTTCAAAATAGTTACACAACAGGGTAAATAAAGTACCCAAAACACGTATTTTACAAATATGTACGGCTCTACTGAAATCAGGACCTCAGATGTTGAATTATTAAGGCCTCTGAGGCTGTACAGTAGACTCATAATTGCGCCTCTTTAAGAGGGAGGTTTAAAACATTTTTTTTTTAAAGGTTTTATTTATTTATGTGACAGAGAGAGACACAGTGAGAGAGGGAACACAAGCAGGGGGAGTGGGAGAGAGAGAGGCAGGCTTCCTGTGGAGCAGGGATCCCGATGCGGGGCTCAATCCCAGGACCCCGGGATCATGACCTGAGCCGAAGGCAGATGCTTAACGACTGAGCCACCCAGGCGCCCAGTTTAAAACATTTTTTTAAAATTAAAAAAAAAAAAAAATTTTTTTTAAGTAAACCCTATGCCACACGTGGGGCTTGAACGCAAGACTCTGAGATCAAGAGTCACATGCTTGAGTCAGCCAGGCGTCCCTACAACATTTTTTTTAATGTGAATGAAATTTCAAGTGTGTCTCCAATCCAAGATCTGGGACTATATCCTTCAGTATGAGATCTGGGGCTTCCAGGTTCTCTGCAGTCAAGAAGCAGCACACAACAGAGAGAAGCAGATGCTGGCGTTCCTAGGCGGCAGGAAGGGTCTAACTGAAGCCTCTCCCTCTCCACACCTCCCACCCTGAGCTGCAGGGACTGGCTGCACTGGGGGTGGGAAGCTCTTTGTAACTGGTAGTCAAGGACAATAAAGAACGAAGCTTCAAAGGGGAAATGCAATTCACTGAATATGCGTATCCAACGAAGTGAAAAGACATGTGTGTATATTTATTTAACTTTAAATAATACAATCATCTACAGAGAGGATATTCTGTCACCAATAAAGGTTGTATTACCATAGAGTCAGGAAACAAGATTACGAAAAACCTGTAACTAAGCAGACTTACTACAGATATTTGAGCTTTAGGTTTCTGACTTCAGACTTAGCCAAATATGAAATAGAATTCTAAAGGTTGAAGAGAATATTTCTGTCATGCCCTCAATGAACTATTAAAAATAGTTCTAAAAAACAATACCTAAAACTTTTAAATGTGAGATATTTAAAAGTTAAATACTGTCAAATCTGAAAGAGAACAAAATCAGAAGCATACTTACTTGAGGGCATGGTGTAGGTATCTTCTTCGTCTATAATCTCAGCATAATCATCTGTTTCTGTAGGAAAGGAAGCAGATATGTTGGAAGAGGTTAAATATTTGACCTCCTGGCCTTTAAGAGAATTAGAAAACGCAAAATGAGCTGCCTAAATCCTCTACTATGCCAACATATTCTTAAAACACTATTCCCCAATTTTTGCTCACACATGAGTCATTTATGGAAATAAAAGTGACATCATGGTGCAGTCTGCTTTAACACACAGACTTGTTTCTCGGGGAGTACACAACGCTGGCACAGAGAGCCCTTGTGAAGAACGGAAAGACGTGGAGCATCTACGACCAGGACTCAAAGCCCCCCATCTGTACCGACTGCAAAACTCTCCCTGGACTGCACCAAATTCATGTTTAAACCCACACTTCGGTCTCCTGGGATTTCTCCAAACAAGACTGGTATCTCAAAAACCAAGAATCTGCCATTATTCATAACTAGACCCTAGAGCAGAATCTGAAGGCTGGCCTCTTGGAAAACAAAAATGACGGCCTGACTGTTGAGATTAAGTGGGTAACGTATTTCGTTTGTTCAGGGTGGAAGCAGCCCAGGAATTTATCTCCTGTCGCTTTGCACCCAGATGTCTGAAGAGTACACATTAATGTCAAAAGGGTAAAAGATCTAACAAAAAGAATGAAATGACAAGAAACAGCATATTAAAATGAGTTCTTTCCTGAGGCGGTGTCAAGGAGTTGCGGTGTCCCCACTACCCCTTTCAGTAATACACTGACTTAGACGCCCACCTCCATCAATGGGGAAACTATTTTGACGAAAACAACCCTCACTTGGACAACAATTATGCTGACTTACGCCCTGCCTGTTTTTCTGTAACGAGGAAAAGCTTTAGCTGCTCCTCGTATACGGATTTAAGCTGCTGACCCAGGAGAGGAGGGGCAGTACTTCCTGAATTATGTTTGAGAAGAGCTCTTCAAAGAGAAAATCTGCCCAAGCATCCACCTTTAACCCCAGAAAAACTAAAAGCTAAATGTTCTTCCTTTTGTGCTGCTCTTACTACTTCATTCAGGTATTAAAATTATAGAAAAGAGAGAATATATGTAGTCTACACTCTTTAGGATATCAATCATTCCACGTATTGCTATGGTAATGACTGAGATCAGACCTAAGAGTTACTGGAAGAATTTACTTCTTAATTAAAAACGATTAAAGTAAAAAAAAAAAAATTCAGCTGGCAGAATACGAAGTCAATAAATCAATTTTCCTTAAAGCATTTAGTAAATGTAAACTATTCCTAAGTCCTACGTGAAAGGTGGATAATCTCTATCATTCTTACATGTTCTAAGTAACACTACTTACAGGATTAAAGAAAAACATTTAATCTACCCCCAACCCTACATTCTTTTATTTCTGTTTCCCCCTCTTATCCTGTTCTCAGCGAACGGGCATGTTCTAGCCTACAGCTTTGCTTTTGTGTAGGCGGGCTTAATGAAGGACGGTGGGAAATGGTATTCGGGGACGGCAGGGAATCACTAAGGCACTTTACGAAAAAGGACCAAGCAGAGGAGGAATCTACACGAGTAGCTGAGACAAGAGAAGCAACATGTCACACACATGGCATTTACTCATTGCCTTCTCTCCTTATTCTATAATTTATACCCTCCCCTGAGAAAGCTACCTAACGTAGAATTTCCACGAGCAACAGACGCTACCCTCCCTGCCTTCTTTCCTACAAAGCACGCACCTGCAGAGGCCAGATGCGGTGGGTGAACCTGGGTGGCAGGACCCTGGCCGTGACAGCTGCCAGACCCCCGGCCCCTGCCTGCTCCCCCCGCTGCCCTGTTCCCAACCCCTGGCCCTGGCTCTACTGAGGAGACGCCATGGATCAATCAACAGCACATGGCTGTGGGGTCACTGCCTGCCTGATGGAGAAGGGCACAAAGCTGCCTCTTGCCAAGGACTTACCATGTGCTGGAGCTCTTGCCGGCTTAGCCAGAAATTCTGGTTTCGGCCAAAGTGTTACCCAGCCAGAGACCTCGCCTCCAACGGACCTGCCCCCCACCCCATCACTCTTCATCACGCTGCCTGGTTTGCTTTCCCCAGTCCTCATCACTACCTGCTAGCTGGCAGTCCTTGGTTCCTTGGCCACTGTCTGCCCCGCTCCAGACGGAGAGCCCAGGGGAGCACAGCACTTCTCCACATCTAACACGGGGCCCAGCACAGAGAAGGGGCCAGGTCCGTATTGGCTGAACAGAGGACGACTTCACTGCAACCGCGTGGTGAGGGGACTACAGCTGAGGCAAGGACGCGATGTGGCCTGTGCAGGGCCGTGCAGCCCGGATGGGGCAGAGTTGCGGTGCACCGGACAGGCCCAGCCCCCGCGTTCGGGGGCAGCCCACGCCCTCCCGCGAGGCCACCTCACCTGTCTGTGCTGCAGCTGGGCCCTCACGTGGACAATGGGAGCACACAGCCACCTTGCAGGGTTGTTATGAGGATTACAGGAGATACATACAAAGTCGAGGTGTGGACCTGCACATAACAGCTGATCACAAAATCGTAGCTCCTTGCGGTTTTGCTTCTTCTGCGGGCTCTACGGGAGGAACCTGGCAGCGAGGGCTTCCTGCCTGCTGAGACTCTGGGTCGGCCCCTCTGAGTGACTGCATTGGCTTCTGGGACAGCCTCTTTTTAGAAAAGCCTCTCTCGAAATCCCGACCTCTGAAACAACTCTGAAGCCATAAAAATAAAATGGCTAATAGATATCAGGCTAGCAAACAACACTGATTTGGGAAAAATCAAGTTGCAGATGCTTTAATTAATTCACACAATCTAAGAAAGAGCCTGTAATTTTTCCCTCTCAAGGCTATGTGAATTCTATATAGAACCTTTGGGGATATCAAAGCTGTCTGGGAATGACTCAGGGTGACATCTGGGGTGTAGGCTGTGTACTGTGGTGTAACAGGACTAGACAATTTTTACTGCATTCAGCAGTGCTGTGTCCTCTGGCAGCTGGTTCTTATGGAGCAGAACCACTGCTGCTGAAGGGACAGAGACCTACAAAAGTGTCACTGTGACCCACAGAGGAGCTCTCAAGTTGCAATACTTGGCATAGTTCTCCAAGAATTCTTAATATTAATTTGGCTCTATTTTTCTTCCCTGGTTTTTAGGATTACAGGATTTTATGATTCTGGCATGAGAGGTATTTTTACACACTTAAGGGCCCCTGAAAAACTGGAGCCCAGCCTGAAACTGCCTGCCCCCATGACACAAGGAAAAGAAACATGAAAAAAGGAAACAGGTTCTAGATCTGGGCACAAGTAAGGGAAGGCAGATCCGCTTATGGATGATGGCGGCAGCATTACTGAGAACGCACCACACTGCAGACACTGCTAGAAGCTGTGATCGCTTATCCGATGAGGTGGTACTGCTAACATCATCCCGCTTTGTAGACAGGAAACTGAGGCTCCCAGGGCACACGTGAGTTCCTCAAGATCCCAGTGCTGATCAGTGGTGGGCTGGTGTTCATAGCAACACTCAGGCACAGAGCCTCATCCCGTACTATCCTCCACAATGCTGACAGGGACTCTTACTTGTCCTTAAAGGTTTTTTCTTTTAAGTCATCTCCGCACCTAATGTGGAACTGGAACTCACAACCCTGAGATCAAGAGCCGCACACTCCACTGACTAAGCCAGCCCGGCGCCCCTGGGGACTTTTATTTGTGAGATCAGATACCCTATGCTATGAAACTATGGAATATTCCTCTAGGGATATTTTGGGAACCTCCTCCCCCACCCCCCAACACAGGCAGAGTTCTGCTCCAGAGATGTTCACCAGATGGGGGCCTGTGTATTTGGGAGACTGTTTCAAATATTTGATTAATATTAATCAAATATTTCAAAAGAAACATTTTTAAAAATGGAGATTCCTGAAACCTTGTACAACATTATAATTTGAAAGGTTAGGTAAAATTAAAAAGAGAGGAAGACAACGTAAAAAGGACAGAAACTGACAGCTCAGAAATCAGGAGAGAAAAGAGCCAAGTTCTCGTCTTAGAGCAAGGTAAACGGCTGTCACGTGGCTAGAGAGCACTGACACAGCGGCCCAGTGTCCTAGCCTCCCGCTCTGTCACCCAGCCTGAGGCCGCTGAAGTCTGGGGAGCGCGGGCCCGCGCAACTCCCAAAGGCCTTCAGGCTCACACACGTCTCAAGTGCTGACGATCCGCTCAACCTCCCACGGAAGAGGGGGTCGGTGGTGTGGTTCTGGCGCACCTCCTCTACTCGCCTGGCAGAAAAACGGGGCCCCTTCCCCTGGTGGTGCTCGGGCCCTGGCTTGGACACCTGCAGTGCTAAAAACCTGCGCCCCCGGCTGTCCTCCCTCAGAGAGTCGGAACGAGGCATCTGTCCCACAGAGCATCTCTACAGTGACAAGACCACTCAGGCAATTCCGTGGGACTCCCCTCCCACCTGGTGACTGCCATGCGACACCGGCCCGGAGGCCCTGGCAAGCAGGGGAAGAGCTCTCTTCTGGGCGGCTGGGAAGGGCCCGCTGTGCTCTTTCACATCAACTGCTTTCTGACCTCGACCAGGGTCAGCAGCTCTTTCCGGTCACGGCTTAGACAGCGGGTCTTTCAGACTCTGCTGGTCACCGTCTCTGCGGCCCCTGCCCACCCCTGAGCAGCCCTCTGTACACAAGTGGGTGTGCCTATGCTCCAATAAAGGCTCACCTGTGGACACTGAAATGTGAATTTCATAGAGTTTTGATGCCAAAAATACTATTCTTCTTCTGATTTTTCCCCAATCATTAAAAAAAGTAATAATCATTCTATGCTCCAGCGGCAATACAAAAACAAGAGGTGGGCTGTATCTTGCCCATGGGCCTGTTTGTGGACCCCTGACCTAGACCAAGTGACTAATGCCTTAAGGCCCAGCTTATTCATCTATAAAATGGGAACAGAAATACTTGCCCTATCTGATTGACAGAACTGGGAAAGTAAAACGTGGGAAAATGGTTTCATTACATAGAGCATGTGGGAATAACCTCATGTTTATAAACATTTGTTCAAATTCTCATGCTTTCACAGTAATCCTCACAACAACCGCTGAGACCTTTTACGGATGAAGACACACAAGATGAAGCAATTTGCTCAGGACCAGTCAACTAGGCTGCTGGTGACATGATGGGGCAGTGGGGGCTGGAGTCTCCCTCCTGATCACGCATCCTGCAGCGGCCTCGGCCTCGGGAGTCTCTCCACCCTGGGCTCATCAGGCCCCTCTCGGGCTCTGCAGAGAGGACAACTCCCGGAGTCACATGCCTGCACACGGGGGACTCCGTGCCAGCAGCAGCCGCTAACTAACTGGTAACTACCAAGGAGTGGATCTCCATGCTGTCAGCCCCACGGCCCAGACACACTTTGCCAAAGTCATGTTTAGTTAAGATCTTTCACTACTCGAGTTAATCCTACCATGAAAATGACACAGGGGAAATCTTCAGTAAAAGCATTCTCTCCTTTAATCATGAGGAAAAATGCAATCCTCCCTAATTTGAGTTTAGTGTAAAGAGTATAGAGTTTCATGCAGGCAACACATGAAGTGGGGAACATAAAACACAACACATGACTTTCAAATTTCTCGTTTTTTAAGTGCTACCCTCAAACCTTTGAAGAATCGTCCTCATCACTGTTGCTGATATTTCTTTAACTAGCTTGTGTGCGATTCTTAAAAATCACTTTTTGTTCCTTCCTTTCTACTACCCACTCCCAAACTAAGAATTATTATATATATCTATAGACACATACACACACACACACCGTACTTGGGAAATCCTCTATGGATTTCTATCATTTACAGCTTTCAAGTGTAACTAATCTTGTTGACTAGTACCATTTTGACAACTGTTCTAGAAACCTAAAGTTTTAATCATGAAATCTAGAAAATTCACTATGTGTATATACAACTCAAATACACCACTGAGACATCAGAGAAACTGGCAAAGCCCTAAACAATTTTTAAGAGATCATTTGTTCACATCATTTTTTCATACTTGTTTTAGATCAAAACCACATTTTGCCTTTCATTAAATACTGAACCATATTTATGAATAAATAATTCTCATATTAGTAACACAAATGTGAAAATAAATATTACCGTCCCCACTAATTTCATCTGCAGATCCAGGTAGCATGCAAAGAAAGGGAGAGTGGGGGAGGAAGGAGGGTGGGGAGGGGAGAGAGGGAGACACACTATTAAAAAGACAAGTAAGTCAAAGCACAAGGAAAACAAAAAAATCACCCCCCAGGTCTAATTCAAAAGATGAAAAGAGCGACTGCAGTCGTGAGTGTGTTTACTTGGTGTAAGGGCATTATGCTGAGTTTCCACCTGTCCACATGTCATACAAAGTTCCACGGCAGTTCTGTAAAGCTGGTCTCTACCATACTGAGCAAAATTAATCTGATAGGCGCTCACAGTTAAATGCTAAAAATAGCCTGGACCCCCTCAAAGGGAATTTGCATCCTGTCAGATAAAAATGAAGATAAGTAGTCATCAATGTGTCTGGTGAAGCTTAGCCTCCCCCAGGGAGTCATGGGCTCCTATTACACAGAGCCCCAGGCCAGGCCCAGCACATAAGCTGTACTACAAGTCAAGTTTCCATTTAAATTCATGCAGTGTTTGGAGAAATTCCTGTTCTGATTATTACAAATAATCTTTGCTTTCCAGAAAACGATCCAAGTGGCCTGGCTGTCTCCGCTCTGCAGCAGCTCCGAGTATCTGCCAGCAAAGCATGACAAGCAGACTGGGGCTTACTCCGACCATCCTTCACTCAGCTGCATGCTACTTTAGGAAACACACAGTGTAAAACGAGGTACCTGCTGGCCCCACAAATGAAACCAGGAAGCCACGCCTCGCCCTGTCATGCATTTAAAAACCAGCAAACAGGCAAACAAAAAGTCTTCTCTTGGAGAGCAGCCCAGAGACGGTCAACGTGAACCGTCGCCCCCATATGGCTGCTGAGCGGCAGACAGCCCGGACGCGGACACCCAGTTAAGGCACACTCTGCTCGGGACAATCTACAAGCGTCCGGTTAGGCCCGCTGCCGGGGCGCGGCGGTTAGTGCGAGCTGGCGCGAGCAAGCGCAGTACCCGTAGGAGAAGGCTCATGGGAACAGAAGACCAAAGGGAGAAGGCGCCTAGCTTTCTTAACTTTATGCTGGCAGGGACTGACTCCTTTATAAAGAGGCAAGAGGAAGAAAGAGAAAAATAGAAACACATTATTTCATACAAAAATACAAAAGAAAACTTATGTTACACATTTTAAGGCAGTTCTATAAAAGCAAATACAGAACTGCAATGCTTTTATTTCACGATTGGCATACTTTATTTCTCACTGTGATTGACTTCCGTTTTAAAAAACATACTAATATTTTAAAATACAAGTTTCTCTTTTAGCAAAGATTAGCACTAGATACAGAAACTTTTAGCCAGACGCACGAGTCTCCCAGCTGTGCAGAGCCAGCCACGTGAAGGCATTACAAACATTTTTACAAATAGCAAAACTGAACCCAAACGAAACAAGACAAAAAACAAAGACAAATAAATAATTCAAGAATCCTGTGGACATTCATCATAAAGAAAAAATTGCCAGAAACTAGCAGATTCTGATTTGTGGAAGAGTTTTATGAGCAATTTTCCCCAAATTATCAGCAAAGACACAGACTCACAGACCTTAAATGTACACCCGAAATAAATGACTTTAACGCAAAACTAGCGATGAGGATGGCTGAATACCCAGGCTGAAAAGCCCCCTGCCCCCTAACATCGTCTGCTCACTCACTGCCTCACTCACATACTGTCAACTGTGACAGTCGCCTCTGCCCTGGACGCTGGCTGCCGCCCAGCCCGCCAAGAACACAGCACAGCTGCGTGGAGAAGCAACGATTACAGTATGGTACGGGGAACAGCGGGCTTCTGTCAAAGTGAAGTCAAAACAGGAGATGTAGCTCTTGAAGACAGAAAAGACACAGGAGACATGGAACACTTAACCACATCCCCATGGGATCCCCTCAAGAAAGGACTTCAGGGGTGGCCCAGGGAGAGCAGGGCTGGGATCAACTGATGGCCGGGACTTACAGACGGTATCAACGTGTTAGGAACAGAAGTGAGAGGAACAGAAACAGACAACGTAGTGATATTTCAGTCGCTGTGCTGTGATCCTGACCCCGTTACTGAGGGTTTCACCTTCCACCGCCATCAGGAGGGTGCAGCTCCCTGTGGTTGTCGGTTAAGACCAGGGGCCTGGCGCAAAGCCTGAATGCATGCTGTCAGGCCGGAAGGAGCCCGGGCCTGGAGCTGAGGATGAGGGCAGGGGCAAGAGCTCCATGGGATGTGACAGGAGAGACAGGCACCCGGACGGTGGGGGGAGGTGACGGCATTCTGTCAGGAGTCAGTTTTCTGATTTCAGTAATTACACTGTGATCGTGTAAGAGGACATCTTTGGTCTTAGGAAATATACACTGGAACATTTGTAAGTGAAGGGGCACAACATGCCCGCAAGTGCTTTCAAATGGCTCCAGGGGGAAAAACTGAGCGAAGATTAGTGGGCCAAAATACGAACATGGTGAATCCCAGTAAAGAATATGAGAGACTTCATTTTACTGTTCTTAAACCCATTCTTTAGGTGTGGAATTACGGAAACATAAAGAATACAAAGAACACATATTTGAATTGAGATGCGGGCTCCCCTCCTCATTCTTTGACCTTGGAAAAGTTACTGAACTTGTTTATTTGTAAAATGAGGCAGCGACAGAGGCATCCCCCATAGAGAGCTGTGGAGAGGGTCCCATGGGGTTCCCCAGGCACCTGGCCCGGGGCAGCCACCACATAAGTGCGAGCTAGTCCCATTTTTCTATTGCTTATTTTATTTCGAAACTGACCTGAGTACTCTTTATATTGATTTAAGAAGCAAATAGTTTTTAAAAAATATAACTCTTCTTCAGTCATATCAAGATTATCCCACATCATTAAATAAAAATGCTGTTAGGACTCTTCTGTTTATTTAGGTACGTTATTTTATTCAAGAGGATTACTTTACATTTATTGAACACCTACCATGAGCAGGGCACACTGTGTAGATGCTTGGTTTACAGCAGTGAAACAGACCCCCGACTCCTACCTTAATCAGCTTATGTTCTAGTATGGGGCAAAAACAATAAACAAAAAGGTAAATTACCTGGTGTGTCAATACTAAGTGCCACAGAGAAAAACAGAGCTGAAGTGGGCAGGGAGTATTTTCCAGTGGTGCTGCAACGTTAAATATGGAAGGAGTCACTTGCAAAAAGCCTTTGAGGGGCAGAGGGAGAGGGCAGTAAAAACACCTGGGCCAACAAACAGCAGCTGAGCAGGCCCTGCTCTGCAGAGGTGAGCCTGGGCCACTTGCCCAGGAGCAGGGAGGTCAGGCAGGGCGACAGAAGAGTGAGGGGGGTGGGGAATGCTGTCAGTGGTGGTGCGCACCAGGGAGCCCACGTCTGGGCTCTGGCTGTCACTGGGAATGACACGGGGCAGATGCACATAAGAAAGAAGTGACGTGATCGGCTTTAGCTTTCAAACGTTTCCTGGGGGGCTGCTAAAGCGTGCGGGGAGACCTGCCAGGCCACTGCAACAAACCAGGCACAGAGTGTGTGCCCCTGAACAACGGCAGCTGTGTGGAAGCTGGACTGAATATATTCAGAGGACTGAGCCCGTTAGGATGTGCCAATCGACTGAATATAGAGGCAGAAGCAGCGCAGTACCAGAACAGGCCCAAAGACTCTGGTCCGATCAGCCAGAAGCAAGGAACCACCACTTACTAAGAGGGGAGACTGAGAGGTGCATGCTTGGTGGGGAGACCAGCATATTAAGATGCCCGTGAGCCCCCAGAGTGGATGTGCTGAAGAGGTAGTTGGCTGCAAGAGTCGAGCTTAGGGAAGCTTCTGGGATCAAGATGACAACTTGGGAGTCGCCAGCATAATTAAGGCACGAAACACGGTAAGATCCCCAAGGAGGCGACTGGCGGCAGGGAAGAGGCCGGAAGACTGAGACCTGGGGTCGTCCAACATGCAGAGTGGGGTGCCAGCAGCAAGGCCGGCAGGCAGGAAGCTGGAGAAGGGCTATCTCCAGCAGCAGACTGATGGTGCAAGCCTCTCGTGCAGAGTTCTGTTGTAGGGGCGTGAGAAGAGAGCCAGAGCCCTGCTCAGAAGGGCTAGGGGTTGGAAGAATCCTCTCCCATGGACACGGAAATCACCCAGAACTTGGAGAGGTACCTGGGGGTAGCAGTGAGCCAGAAATGCAGGAGAGTCTTGTTCTGATACATGCGTTTCTGAGGGAGAATAGTCTGGAAGAGTTAACAAGAAGCAAAGGATACTGAGTTCACCTCCATGCCCAGTTTGACAATGGCTCTGAAGGGAAACCACAGCCGTGGCTATGAGGACGGTGGGGCAGCGGCGCCCCCAGGGCAGGGCCAGTGCTGGGTAGGGGAGGTGACCAGAGGCTTGGGGGAGATGCTGTGGATTACATGTAAGTGAAGGGTGGGAGATGACACATGGGACTTCTCAAGATGCTGGCATAGCCGGGGTCAGTCTGAGGGGTCGGCGCTTTCCTGCTCGTCTTTATTAACAAGTAAAGCAGCAGTCCCTGTGACCGTACGTCTCAGGCCCGTTCCTTTGCTCAGATGGTCAGGGCTGACGATGTACGTGGGGGAAACTGCCCTAGCAATCATCCAACCTGGGTCGATCATGGGAGCCCTCCCTGCCCCTGATAATACCAAAACCCACAAATTCATAATGATGCTCAAAAAAAGAAAGCACAGAAGAATAAGATCTGGCCAGGGAGGCAACTCACCATTTTAAAAACTGGAAAATAAAGGGAATGAACGAGGTAGTTTTCTTGTCTTTCCAGCAGGAAGCATTTCTCAGGGTAACTGAACAGCCGAGGAAAAGCCTTCTTTGTAAGTATAATAGCTAAATAAACAAAGACGTGGCAGAAGTCAGGTGTGGCCACTTTGCGGCCCCTGACAGAATCCAGACATGCAAGTCAATGGCCACAAAGGCCATCGGGTGTAATGCTCACAGGAACTTTATAATGGATGGTCACAAACTGACCAAATCTACTGGTCAGTCTTCATGTCATGAAGAGAGACAGTCAGATGTATTCTTGTAAAAAAAAAAAAAAAAAAAAAAATCACTGAGCCTGAATCTGATCAAACTTCCCTTGATCCTAATAAGCAGCGCCCGGGAAATAAAATGCAGGGGCCCAAGAGGAGCATGTTCAGACAGTGTCACAGAGGTGTCCCTAGCCAGACCCAGAGTATGGGGGACAACAGCGTAAGTGACACAATTTCTTCAGTAGATAAAGCACTGCATTGCCCCCTATTAGTGGAGGTTGATTAGGGGGAAGGTGGGCATACGCTCCATTCTGGAAACAGGTGCACGGGGCTAAGGTAACAGATTCGTGTGGCCTGGAAAGTGTGGAAAAGTGAATTCCCTCTTTAGTCTGCTCTCGTACTCATTGTTCTGCTTTTCATGTGGGCTTTTTCTGACTGGGATGTGTCTCAGGCTGCTCCCTGCAGGGGGCCTCCACATGTCAAGGCCTCCTTGACCCCTGCAGCCGAGGGGTCAAGTCCAACTCAAGTCTTAGGACTAGGAAGCCAGTTTAGCTCTGGAGACTATAATATACGACATAGATATTTCAGTACCCATATGACTCCACAGAGCATTTTTCTCAATTCCTTTAGAAGCCAGAGAGGAGAGGCAGATGGTTCGGTAGCCCAAATCTCAGCAGAGGCAAAGAGAGTTCAAATGACCTAATAATGGTGGTGGAGAGAAGCCAGCACAGTGGGGTGCTCCGGCCATTCATGCACCAGACCATCAGCCATCCTGACCATACCGAGGGAGACACCGCTGTGAACCTCTCAATGGCTAAAAGTCTCTCCTAACATGAGACTGATTATAGAACCCTATTCGTGATCGTTGAAATGAGAAGAGTTTCGGGTAAGCCAGGTACTAGGAACAAGTCAATAACATCCAACACTTACACTTCCTGCACATAAAAATAATCAGCAGCATCGATTTGATTAAATTATGTCACAGAGCACCTAATTTACAAAAATTAACTTTGCATGTACTAGGTGCTAATACTCTAAATTAGGGAACTTAAAAAAAATTCCCAAAAGCTAGTGTTAAAATCAAGCTTTC